TGTGTGTGTGTGTGTGTGTGTGTCTGTTGCCGGCTCCCTTCTCACTCCTTCTCTCGGGGCCTTCCCCTGACCCGAGTCCAACGTTCAAGCCAGGCGGGTGAGAGAGAGGCGCGGGGATGTGGGCCAGCTCCCGGCTTCGGGCGGTTCGAGGGAGGATCCTTTCTCCTGGGGGCCTACTTCGGCGCGTGCGTGTGTGTGTGTGTGTGTGCGTGTGCGTGCGTGTGTGTGTGTAGGGACCTGGGCATCCGCCTGCGCTCCCCCCCTTCGCGTTTCTGCCTTCTCATGGCTTTTCCGGCGGTGACCTCCACCACCGGATTGCTCGGGTCTGGTAGTCCCCCCCACCCCCACCCCCCCCCACCACTTCCTTGTGCCCACTTCCATCTCCCCCGTCTCTCTGCCCTCTCCTTCCAGCCGCCACTGCCCCTTCTCGTACTCTCCTCTCCCTTTCTTGCCATCCTCCTCCTCCCCTCCCGGACTGGTCAGATCTCCCCCTTGCGTGCGCCTGCACGCGTGCGCCTCCCTCTCCCCCTTCCCCCCTTCCCCACCCGGACCCATGTCGTCCAGCCCCTTCGATCCCGCCTTGCGCGACGCGTCGGTCGCCTCCGACAGCTACCTCTTCTCCTCCAATGACCAGACGATTCTCAACAACTTTTTTGAGAAACTTGCCTCCGAGGAATCCCAGCTCCCTCAGGGCTTCGGTCCTCTTGGCACCGGGGCACCGGGCCATGACAGCTTCTTTGCCGGGCCGCCGCGCCCCGGCGCCGGGGCCACTGCGCCGACATTTCCCGGCGTCCCACCTGCCGGCGGGGTGTCCGGCACTGGCGCCCCGCCTGGCCTCCTTGATGGGATGTTGATGCGCCCACCGGGCGGATCGGCCCCGGCCCACATGGCCTCCCTTTCCTCGCTCTCTCCCTCCTCTGTCGGTGCTGGCCCGGGCGTCGGGCCAGCCGGGTTCTTCCAGCCTACTGGCGTTGACTCCTTCAATGCCTTCCCTCCTCCGCTCAGTGCGCGCCCGATCACTCTCCCATCGCCCGTTCCATTCTTCATCCCCCTGTCCCTCCCCGGCCAGCATGCCTTCGCACGTGTGGTTGACTCACCGTCGATGATCCACTTGTCCCCGCTCTCTCCGCCCCCCTTCGGCCGCTCTTCGTCGTTCTTCCTCTCCCCAATCCAATCGGAAAGCCCATGACCAGGCCCAGGCCCTTGGCTCTCTTGCCCCGGAGGCACTGGGCAACCTTCCACACCCGACTGGCATGCCGCCCACCCTGTCCGGAGCGCGCTTTGCTCCTGGACCACCCAGCTTCCAAAGCCTGATCGCCAATAGCGCCAACGCCTCCGGCGCTTCGCAGCCGGTTTCGCCACTCTCTCAGTTTGCCCTGCAGAATGGCCTTCTCCGGTATGGTGGGCTTGGCCAGCAGCAGCCATCGCAACAGCCATCGCAGCAGCAGTCACAACCGGAGGCCGGTCGGATGTCACAGCAGCAGCAGCAGCAGCAGCAACCTTCTCAGCATCCTTTCTCCAACAGCAGTGCTCACAGTTCGCCCCGGCACCATGGCCCTAGTGGCGACGCCGGTGCCCCCTCCACGCCTGCTGGGTCTGGCTCCGGGCCCAATGGGCCCTCTTCGTCGGCATCCTCATCAAGTACTCCCTCCTCGACGGGATCCCTCGCTTCGGTCTCTTCCTCAGACCATGGCAGTTCCATGCCTGGAGGCCAGGGCCCACCACGGGGACACACTTACTCTCCGAAGACCGGCCAGCAAGGGCCTGGATCGCCTACTGCCATGAGCCGACACTTCCCTGCTGAGCGCCTGGCTGACTTCGCCGGAGCCGGCCCGGCCAACGCCTCGTCCTCTTATCACTCGCAGCAGCAGCAGCAGCACCACCACCACCATCTTCACCACTCACAGCAGCAGCAACAGCAACAGCAGCAGCAGCAGCAGCAGCAGCAGCAGGGGCACCACCACCACCTGCAGCAGCCGGGCGCTCCGCACTGGGCTGCTAGCGCCACCAAGATGCCGCAGCAGTCCCAGGCCTTCTTTGGCCGCGGTGGGGACTTCGCTTCGGTTGCGAGCTCCGGTCATGACCTGGCTTCGGACCAGTCCCTGCGCCAATCAATTCATGATGTCTCCAGTGTCAATGGCACTGCCATGCACATGCATCCGGTATGTCCCCGGGAGGGGTCGCTCTTCACGGGTCCGGCTGGCCCTGATGTACCCCCCCTGTGTTTCTTACATTCTCACGCAACACCCCCCCCCCCCCTCCCCCCTCTATGACAGCAGGCGCATCATCACCACCCACAACAGGCGCATCATCATCACCATCATTCGCAGCAGACGCAGCATCTTTCCTACATGCAGCAGCAGCAGCAGCCACAACAGCCACAGCAGCGGCAGCAGCAGCAACAGCAGCAGTCACTTCAGGCACCTCATCACACGCAGGGTGTCGATCCAAATACCGGGCTCTCTCTCGACCTGGTGGGTATCTCGCAACAGCAGCAGCAGCAGCAGCAGCAGCAGCAGCAACAGCCGATCAAGCGTCCCGGTGCGTGGGGTCCATTCTTGCACGCAGTCATACCCACATACCCACATGCATACCCACATGCACGCACACACACATTTATAGATATGTATACTCACGCAAAAGCTTTTGTCCTGCCTTCTCTTCTCCTCCGGCCCATCTCCTCCCCTCCACTTTCTCCTCCTCCTGCTCAGCTGTGAGCACCGATGGGTCCTCTGCCAGCATTGCCAAGCGTCAACGCCGGGCGAACCCCGCCGGGGGCGACTACGAGCCCAGCCAAGAGTCGCTCCTTCCTTCGGGTGCTGGGTCGCCAGGCACCGGTCTCGCGGACGGCTCCGCCCCGCCGGCACCCAAGCGCCGGGCTGGGCGTGCCTCGGCCTCTGCCGCCCCTCGGAAGGCCACTGGAAAGGCCGCCGGCGCCGCCGCTGCTGCTGCTGCTGCTCGGACAGCAGTCAATGCGGCTGCCGGCGACTCGAGCCCACTCTCCTCGCCGGATTCACTGTCCGCGTCACAAACTCCCACCCTGCCGGTTGGTGGCCTCGGCTCGCCAGATGGCTCCAATGGGTCTGGTGTGTTGAGCACCAGCGAGTTGAACATGCTACTGAAGCAGCTTTCCGGCGCATCGGGCGCTTCATCGGCTGTCAAATCCGAGGGTTTGCAGGATCTTCTCCCGGGTGATCTGGACTTCTCCCGGATCGGCACGGCAACCAGTAATGCCGGGCGCCATGGTCAGCTCGGGGCCTTTGAGCATGCTCTCCTCGAGCCACGTATGCCCACCTCGACGGTGAAGCCCTCCCTCGCGCGTGGTGCCAAGCCACAGATGTCTTCCGAGCAGCTGGCGGAGGAAATCAAAGCCGTGGCAGCCGGGCTGTCTAATAGCCTGGCCGGGCCGCCGATCATCAGCTACACGGGCACCCGCCACGGAGGTGGCATGCTGACCGACGAGGAGAAGCGCCGGAATCACATCCTCTCGGAGAAGAAGCGCCGGAATAACATCCGCCAGGCGTTCAAGCACATGACCGAGCTGGTCCCCTCGCTGACCGGGACCAATTTTTCCAAGGCCACCATCTTGCTGAAGAGTACGCCGGTTTTCTTCAACTGCTTCATCTCCCGCCTCATGTCGCCTTTGGTGCCGGGTCGCTGACAGACACACACACACACACACACGCACACGCACACATATCCACACTCCCCCCGTTCTCTCCTGCAGCCAACGAGTATCTGGAGTTCCTGCGTGACCACAACATGCGGCTGATCCATGAGATCCTCCGGATGCGCGCCTTCCTGGCTGAGCGGTCGCTTGAGTATCCTCCTCGTGGGGAAGACTCACGCCCGATGGACATGTCAGCCGACAGTTCGGCTACCCTGGCCACTGGGGACTACTCGGCCGCCGCTACCACTACCGCTGCCGCTGTCAACAACACCTCAGCCACAGGCCCCGCCGGGGCTGCCGATCGGCCAGCCCCTAGGGCCCCAGCCAAGACCGCTGGATCTGGGCGGAAGCCTCCGGCTACCGGTGGCGCAAAACAAACCAAGGCTTCCAGCACCAAGTCCGCTGCCGCCGCCAAGGGTGCTAGCGCCGCGGCGCCTCCCCCCGACGGGCCACCCCCCCCGGCGGCCTCTGCCACTAACAAGAAGTCCTCCTAGACGCGTTGTTCGCCCCTCCCCTCTCCCCCCTCATCCTCCCCTCCTTCTTCACTCTCCACATTCTCTTTCCTAGTCATTGCGGGGCTAGTATTGGCACTTCTGGGGGTGCGCCGGCGCGTCCCCCCGTCAATCACTATCCGCATCCTCC